GCCAGTGGGCCAGCAGCAAGAGGCATAGCTGAAGCCTGAGGTTGAGGGGTTTTCACCCAGCCCCTAGAGCCTGGCACTCTGAACTTGGACTTAAAACTTCCAAACTTAAGGAAATAAACTCCTGTTTGTTAAAGCATCTCATTTGTGGCATTTTCTGTTAGAGCTGCACAGAGGTAACCAAAACACACTCAGAGGAAACTAATACACAAGGGGTCACACAGTTGGCAGGAAAAAAAAAAAAATCCACATAACACATTATTTGCAGAAAAATAGGTAGTCACTTTCTCCATTACACTGGAAAAACGCATGAGAAAATGTAATAATGGAATACATTTTTATACTTTTCTCAAGTCTACAAGACTCCCACAAAATGGCTGTTATAGTGTGAACTGTGAGAAAATTACATTAAAATATAAAAAGTTAACTTACATCTTTCATAGGATGTGTTCTTCCTAAAGTGTTCTTCAAATATTTCGTACTATTAAACAAACAAACAAAACACAGAAGAGAGTTAGGAAATTTTTCAAAGCATTTTCTTTTTAAATTATATTCTTCATTCCACAAAAAACCAAACTCACTGCCATCGAGTCAATTGGACTCACAGTGACCCCTCCTTGGGTTTCCATGGCGATATCTCTATGAAAGTAGATTGCCCAATCTTCCTTCCAAGGACTGGCTGATGGGTTTGAACCGCCAGCATTCTGGTTAGCAAATGCCTTAGGCACTACACCACCAGAGCTCCTACAGTCTTCATTAGTTGACTAATAAATGGCACATGATGAAATTTAGGTTATAGCAAATACCTTTTAGGAAAAATAACCCATATTCCACAAATTTAATTATATTTTTTATAGGTCAAAATCTAATCACTGATAATATACCCTCTTCCTCAGAGACATGGAAAATTCACACACCTGCTGTTATCCTTGACTCTGAAGTCCTAATCAATCACCAAAGGGCAGAAACTCTCTGCAGAAGTCAGGAAAGGGAGGTATACTATCATTCGTTAAGCACCTGAGACCTGTTCCAGCCTGTGACAAATTCTTTTACTTATATTTTCATTTAACTCTAACCCAAACCAAACCCAGTGCTGCTGAGTCACTTCCCATGCATAGCAACCCTATAGGACAGAGGCTGCCACATAGGATTTCCAAGGCTATCTTTCTAGAAGAACACTGTCACATCTTTCTCCCTCAGAGTGGCTACTGGGTTCAAACCACCAACGTCTCAGTTGACAGCCAAGTTCTTTAACTAATGCACCACCAGGGCTCTTTTCACTGTAACAGCCCTATAAAAACTAGAAACTCATTGCCATTGAGTTGTTTCTGACTCATGGTGATCTCATGTGCTACAAAATAGAACTGCTCCATAGGGTTTTCTTGGCTGTAATCTTTACAGAAGGCAATTACCAGGCCTTTCTTTAGTAGCGCTGCTAGTTGGGCTTGAACCACCAACCGTTAGGTTAGTAGTAGAGCACAAATCCCATGCTTTACATGTAAACCTGCCCAAAGCAACATTCTGCTAGGATGGAGAGAAACTGTACTCAAATCCACATCAATTCAAATCCAGAGTCTGCCCTCTTTCTAACTCTCCATGTTCACTCAAATGAACATAACGTGAAAGGATAAAGTTGCCTATCTTCAACATGCTCAAAGTAAAAAGATGTAACAATGACTAAAAGAAAGACTAGATTTAACAATGGTGGGAAATAACATTGTCAGAATATGTATGGAGTTTCCTGTGCATCAGTCCTTGTACAAGGGTCCTGGTGCACTGCATTACACAGTCCCTGACTTTAAAATGCACCATGGAGACAACACATAATCAAGAGTTTATTATAGCAGTATTTTCAAATACTCATTTGTGAATACATAGCAAAATCAGTGTAATGGGTCTAAACCAGTTTTTTGGGGGGAATTTTTCATTTTATATAAGTTTAAATATACAGAAAAGTTGAAAGAATAAGTATAAGAAATGTCTGTATAGCCTTTGGACAGATTCAGCAATGATTTATATTTTGTCTCATTTGCTTTGGGGGGGGTGGGATAATTTGCAGAAAATGTACATCTTTAAGCATAAATACTTATGCTTAAAGATGTACTTGTATAGTGCTTTGTAAGGTTCTTTCCTAAGAAAAAAAAGACATTAGTATCTTGTAAAATAACAGTAATTTTCAAAATCAAGACATTTAACACTGCTGTAAGACTGCTGAATCATATTCAAATTTCAACAACTGCTCTATAACATCTTTTAGTTTTGTCCTCAGTAATTTTTTTAAAATGAAATAGAAGATAATTTAAGACTGTACTACATAGTATTGTTTCATGAACTTTCTTGTTTTCTGTTAAGGGGGTGTGTGTGTGTGTGTACATACTAGTTATAACGTAAGACATCATTATTATGAATCACAGACAAAAAAGTTGAAAAAATCTTTAGATGAGTGGTTCTCAAACTTCAGTGTGCATCAGAATAACCTGGAAGGCTTGTGAAAACACAGATGCTGAGCTCTACCATTTGTCTGTCAGTTTGTCATTGCACTGCAATGGATTGCTTCCACACGGCCTTTCTCACCATGATCTCCCACCAAACGACTGGATGGGACTATGCAAATAAGGTGTATGGCAAACCAAGGGGACCTGATAATAATGCAAAAAGGTACATGGTACCCTTTGTCGGGATGGGACCATGCAAATAAAGTATATGGAATATACTAGGGAATTGGTCATTTTTGCCATCCAGCTAGGCTTAAAATTAGCCATCTCAGAGGCAGAAAAGGGGGACACTTTACCACCACCAAGAAAGAGCTAGAAGTGGAACACACTATTTGGACCCAGGACCCTTGTGCTGGGAACCTCCTAGACCCAAGAGACAGAGAGCTGTAGTATTGGAGATGGTGAGAAAGGGCAAAAGCAGTGGCAGAGAAACAGCAGCAGCAGAGCCAGTTGACCAGGAGGAGATGGCCCCAGCAAGAAAGGTGAGTGCCTTCAGGAAGCTGGCAGGCACAGTGGAGTGCATCCAGGTGCTTGTTGGTGGGGCCAGGCTTGCTGAACCACTTAACTAGAGGACTGGGCACTGTCGGGTCGAAGCTTACTGCCAGAGTGGGGCACCTCTGGGCACTTATCAGTGCTGCTAAAGAGCTCTGTAACACTTGCCTGAGCAGGGCAGAAGACAGGCTTGCCCGAGAGGCCTGCTTATGGGCACAGCCAAGAAGCTATCCTGATCAAAGAACTATTTCCTTGGTCATTCCTAATCCTTAACTGTAACCTGGTACTTCCCTAATAAACCACACAATAGTGTGTGTGAGTTGTGTGGACATTGCAATGAAATATTGAACCTAGCAGAGAAGCAGAGAGTGCCCTGTGAGAAATGGTTCATGTGCAATAGGTAAAAAGGCTGGTGAGAGAAGGTAGGTTTGACCTCTGCTTCATAGGAATTAGTCTTGGGCTGATGTGAACAGCAATTCTCCCTTTCATGAAGTTAGAGAAGCTCAAACATTCTATTGCAACATTTTTACAGTTGTACTGTGATGCTTACATGTTGCTGTGATGCTACAAGCTATGACACTTTTATTTCTAACATCAACCAAACTCACTGCCATTGCGTTGATTCGACTCAAAGTGACCCCTCCTTGGGTTTCCAAGGCAGTATCTCTACAGAAGTAGATTGCCCAGTCTTCCTTTTGAGGAGTGGCTGGTGAGTATGAACCACCAGCCTTCTGGTTAGCATCAAATGCCTTAGGCAGTACACCACCAGAGCTCCCTCAAATATCAACAGTGTCACTCATGCTGGAGAGGTTTCGGCAAAGCTTCCAGACTATGAAAGACTAGGAATAATGACCTGGCAATCTACTTCTAAAAATTAGCCAGTGAAAATTGTATAGTACAGGAAGATGAGCACCTCAGGTTTGAAGGCACTCAAAATATAACTAGGGAAGACTGTCCTCCTCAAAGTAGAATTTACCTTAATGACATGGATTGAGTAAAGCTTTCAGAGCCTTCATATGCTGATGTGGCATGACACAAAATGAAAAGACAGTTGCAAACACCCATTAGCAATCAGAACATGGAATGTGCAAAGTATAAGTCTAGGAAAACTACAAATTGTCAACATGAAATGGAATGCTTGAAGATAGCTATCCTAGGCATTAGTGAGTTGAAATGGACTAATAGAACCCACTTTCAATTGAACAGTCATACATTCTACTATGCCAGAAATGACAAACTAAAAGAGGTACAGTATCATATTCACTGTCCAAAAAAAAACATTTCAAGATCTATCCTGAAGTACTACCCTGTCAGTGATAGGATAACATACATTTGCTTACAAGGAAGACCAGT